TGAGTGGTAAACCAACCAAACAAACATTGTGTATTTCAGGCCCCATACTCATATGATAAAACCATCAAGGAATGGAGCTGGAAGCCCCTATCCTGAGCCGACTAACATAGGAACAGAAAGCCAAATACGGCATGTTCTGGCTTATAAGTGGAAGCTAAATGATGACAACCCATGGACACACAGAGGGGAACAGCACACACTGGGGCCTATGGGAGGGTGGAGAGTGGAGCGTGGGAGGAGGGAGAGAATCAAGAAAAACAACTAATGGGTACTAGGCTTACTATTGGTGATGAAACAACCGATACAACAAACTCCCACAACACAAGTTTACCTATGTAACAAACTTGCACTTCTACCCCTAAGCCTAAAATAAAAGGTTTTTTAAAAAAGACATTGGCTTAGGATCCTCTAAAACAGTGAAATGCATGTACAGTGTTTTAAATATATGAGGCATACATTTAAAATTTCCATGCTTAGATACAACTTGGCAAAACTTCAGGCACATAAAAAGAGAAAAAAAAACTATCAAGGAAAGTGAGGGACTTGTTATCACACAATAAGGAGAGTGGTTAATTCCCTCTGTAGGGGAGACATGGGCAGGGTGAAGCATACAAGGGCCCCTTGATATTTTTTAAACTGATTGTGGGTTTGAGTGTTCATACTCTTAGTCTTTTAACTGAACATATACATCGTAACCACAGGTAGCTTTCAATTTAAAAAATAATTTTTAAACTAGCACAAATAGATAATGGTCACTCATACGGAGCCCCGATGTTATCTTTCTGTGGAATCCCAGCTCCCAACACATCCCAGGCCTGTGAGTTATCCCAATGGCCAAGAAGGGACTGCCATGCCCTGGAGATGCCCCTAGGCTCTGACTTCCAATGCCAGCCCATGCAGCACTAGCCAGGTTACTCCACCCATCTGTGTCTTCATCGAAAATGAGTGCCTAGGAAAATACCTGGTATGTGGTAGGGATTCCATGAATATTTGTTGAATGAATGAGTCAATGATATCTAAGAGCTCATCATAATTATAACCTTCATCCAAATTTATTCACTAGAGGGAAATTGTGGATACAGCTACTAGCACCCGCCACATACCCCCTGCCAATGCATACACACATGAATATCCCAGCATTTGAAGTGGCAACTCAGAAAGTTCTCCATTCTTTTTGATCCAAACTTTTGATATTTTAATGCTGCAAATTTTCTCTCTCAAATGTCGTCTTCTCTTTTATTTTTCCTTTCACTGTCACAACAAGCACACAAGTATTTTCAGTGGAATTTTACCAAATGGCACAGCTCACATTTTGTAAACCATATACATACCAACTCCTCTCTCACTCTTCTGCCAAATTCTGTCTTGGAGCTCATGGCTTTTCCTGCTCTGATCTCCAACTCTGACTCAAATGCCCAGTCATCAGGCTCTACCTGGAGCAAGGACATTTCTGAGTTTAAGGGGAGGCTGATGAGCAGATTAGAAAGAATCAGGCCTCACCCCACAAAGGAGGGAGCCTATGTATGGGAGTCATTAAAGTGACTGCACCAGCCTAGAGCATGCCATGTCCCTTCCAAACTACCTCCCTCTTTCTTGGCATCGACTCGGTCTGGCTGGGGACAGGAGCAGGAAGCTAAAGCCCAGTAAGACCAAATTACAGAAATAGGATGATGCCTTGGCTAAATGCATGGGTACGAAAGTTAAAAAGAACATTTCTGAGCCTCATTTTCCTCATCTGTAAAATGCAGCAATAATCCTGCCTCAGAAGGCTGTTGGATGGTTAGAATGAAGTAAAATACATAAAGGTACCTGCAGATCAGCATTGAAAAAAGTTGCTATATTACCAAACCACTTCTGTTTGACTTTGGAAAGAATAGAACAGTCTTTACACTTAATTTGCTTTTTAATTGGGCTCATCTGAAGCTAGTGCTGCAGTGAGTCAGTGGGGGACGAGGGGCCTGAGGCATTCAGAGACACCATTTGTCTGGGCTGTATTGGCAATATGTATCCACCCGCAAGTGACACGAGGACAGGCCACACCCAGCCATGCCGAGGGAGCAGCCACACTCACACTCCAAGGGCTGGATGTGCTGCATCAGACAGCAGATAGGCTGAGCTGCCTTGGCTCACCTAACACAAGCATGTTGGAAATGGGCAGGGGCTGGGCTGGGCATGAGGGGAAAGCCAGGACAAGCACTGGGCACTGGGTTAAAATTTTATAGAAAATGTGTAGGGGCAGAAGCCAAGCCTCAATGCTTGTCATACCAGGGCAGGCAAAGGCAGGAGGTCCTGTACAGAATCCAAGTAAGAGTTCTCTGGCCTCCAGCAAGCCAAGAGTCAGAAGGGCTAGCACCCTGGACAGCGCCATGGTCACACAGGCTCTGATGCTGTCTTCTGACAGAGAACCCCAGCTCAGGGGTGCTCCATTCACCTCCACGCTCTGGGTCTGAACCAGCAAACATGGCAGGTCTCTGCCAATCCCTCTCTTGCACGATAGAAGCCTCACAGACCGATCATGGTGTTTTCTGCTGCTAAGCCCAGACACGGCCTCAGAATCCTTCCCAGCACAGCTCCCTAGAAGCCTCAACCAACCACCTACAGTGGTCCACCAGATGAAAACTACTGATCACCCGGTGTCTTTATGGAATTACTGATAAGGAGCAGTCTAGGTTGGAAACTAACTTCAACCTCACTAAAGGTAGCAAAGGTGCCCATGTCAGAAAAGAGGAACACAGCTTTTGGTGCCATTGGAGATTCTGAGTTGGGGATAGAAGAGGGGCCGGGGAGTGTGTCTGCAGAATAAAATCTGTTTCCTAGCCTACCCCCTTCCCTGCCACCTCATACTCAGAGGTCAGTCCATCCAGTACCCTTGTCTTTCTCCCCGCTCCTCCTTTGTCTTGTGTGATAATGGCTTGAAAACTCCATGTCTCCATCCACAAATGGGTCAGGGAGCTACTCTGTGCCAGGCACCCCGCGGGCAGCAGGGCCATGGTGGTGGGAAGCACACAGCCACTCTCCTGGGCTCACTGCCTCACCAAGGAGTCCAGCACTCGTGGAGGACCAGCCCTCATGAGAGTCGGGACAAGCCGAGAGCAGGCTGAGGGTAGGAGGAGCGTCTCTGTGAGAGAGTGTAACCAAGCTGCCAGCTCTGTAAGACAGGTGGAGCTCAGGGACATCTTTCTTTGAGGACCTTGAACTGAGTGAGGGTAAGAAGTATAACAAGAAAACAGGACTTGGCCAAGTGCCATCAGGCCTTGTTTAGACTGCAGGAGTCGCAGGAGCCCAGACAGATGGGCAGGCTAGAGAGCGGATCACCTGCCCTGGCAGCGGCTAGGGCTCCCATTAAGGTCCCCTCCCAGGCTCTAGGGGAAAACTGTCTGCAGGCCAGAGTGGAAACAAAGCAATGGTGCCCAGAGAAAGTGGGGTGGGAAGGGCCTGGGCACACTGGATGACAGCACCCCCATCCCTGGCAGCGTGCACACCTTTCCACAGTGCCCAGCCTCAGAGCAGGCTGGACTTTGGGGTTGAGCCACCAACCCCAAGGGTTCTCAGGGGAAGGTCTGGCCCCTGCAAGATCGGGCACCTCGGGGCAGTTACAACATCTCCGACTCCTCCCAAAAGGCCAGGGGCTGAACAAGAGTGGGAGGGTGGGAGGGAGAGGCCAGGTCCTGGACAGAGTCCAATTCAAGTCCTGCCCTTGTCCCCATCCACCTCATCTTTATTTCAGCACAGTGACTGTTTGCTCTTTCAATTCTTCCTGGAAGACTCCAAACAGCATATTTGCTCAAGAGCTGAGGACAACATTCCAGTCTTAGAGAAGAGTATTTAGGCAAATGCAAACATATGCTGACTCCTTTTCTTAGTTACATTCTTGGCAAAGAAATTATATCACCAAGAGACAAAACGGGATTTTCGAAGGTCCACCCATTCCATCCTGGCACCGGCCGTGGGGCTGCCAACCCTCATCAGTCCCCCACACCCCCTAAGACGTTATGGGGGTGGCTGTGGCTATAAAGGGGTAGCACAGGGATCCTTTGAGGGAACTGCTCTGTATCCTTACTGGTGGTCACAGGAATCTACACATGTGATTTTAAAAATGCACAGCAGTAAATCCACACCTGCAAGAACATGTGCACTACTGAAATATGAACAAGGCCTACAGGCTGTATCAAATTCTGGTTGCAATAGTGTACTATAGCTACGCAGGATGGTACCCTGGGGGAACCTGGGGGAAGGGCACACTGGATCTCTCTGGATTGCTCCTTACAATTGCATGTAAATCTAAATGATCTCATAATTTTAAAAGGCATTGTTTATACACTTAACATGGAAGCCATTCTATCTCAGGACTAGGACTAGTCTGTTTTTACAGAGCAGCCATAAGAAAACCTGAAGCCATTTCTCCAAAGCCCATTTTGCGGTTTCCTAACAAGAAAATTATGATGTGTTTTCATAGGAGAGGTCTTCGAAGAAACCATGCCCAGCCCTACCCAGTGTCCCCAACCCAGTGACTCCAGCCTGGCGCTATGACACTTGAGGCATTCATCCCCCTAACCTTTGCCCCAGCCTGGGACCCCGAAACTGAACGCAGACTGGGATAGATGGAGGCAAGGAGCCAGGAAGGCCCGGCAACTGTCCAGTGTGAAGGGCACTCTTTGGAGAGGAGACCTCCAGGAGGACCCATGCTGGCCGGCCTCACCCCTGCCAGCACACAGCCTTTTGGATCCCTGCAAGCAGTTTATTAATATTTTATTGAAACCTCCAAGATGATTCAAATTTCAGCCGTCATGACAAGGTGTTGTTGACAGGCAACTTTAGTCCCTATCTATGGAGCTGTTGTTGCAGCTCTTCTCCCTCTCATGAAGCTCAAGGTTTGACCCTATCACCTGGAGGCTCACTCAGCACAGACCACCCACTACCCGTCCACAGCCCCACCCTCTCTCAGGTCTCCCAGCTCCTGGCCATCCCTGTCCCTGGGCAGCCCCAGCCTGACAACTCACCGTACTCGCTGTCGTAGAACATGACAAACTTCTGCCAGCGCAGCTCCGTCACCAGCCTGAGCATGACGTCGTTGAGGCGGACAGGTGGTCTTGAAGCCAGTGTGTAGGCCTCACCATCGGGGCTGGGGTTCAGGTGGCAGGCGGTGCGTGGCGACCCCCCGGGGTTGCGCTGGACAAAGAGGTGTGGGATGTGCATGGCGTCTGTGAGGGACTGCAGGGCGTTGGCAGACGCACAGCCAGTGGACGTGACCAAAGCCAAAATTCCCTGGGTCATGAGGTCACAGGCTAAAAGAGAGGGGAGAGAGAGGGAGGGGTCAGCATCAGGGCGATGCTGCACCAGCTTCAACCCGCAGGTCCCATGCCCAGCAGCTCGTGATCACAATTTGCAAGAGAAGCTGCCTGCCTCCAGGACCAAGAACCATCCTGGGCCAGGCCAGCAACTCTCATGAGCACAGCCTCACCGACATCCTTGGTGAACATGCCAGCTAGACATTCTTGTACCCATTTAGCACAAGAAAACAGTGGTCAAAACGGGCAAAACCATTTTCTCTAGGCTATTCGAGGAAGGATGGTAGAGCACAGATCCATCCCAAGTCTGCCTGACTCACCCAACTGAGCTGTGACATTAGCCATCCTGTTTCCCGCCTAGGACTATAAGCCCTTTCAGAGCCAAAAAGTCGTTGTGTTGATCTTTGTATCCCCATGCCTAGCCATGGGCAGAGAATATACTGTGTGCTCTGTAACTGTTGACTGAACTGATTGGAACTGATGGGACGGAATAACCAGAAAGTCAGGGAGGCACTGACCCCAGAGGACCCAGGATGTAGGGGGAAAAAAAAGAAAAGAAACCCTAGGTCTTCTGACCAAGTCCACTTGATCCATATCATAAAAATACTGGGCCAAACCCCAGATGAAGCAATTATTTCAGAAGAATTATTCAAAAGCCTCTTGACAAAAACAAAGAAAGATGCTCTCGCCACTCAGGCAGTTACCGTAGGTGCGGAGGAGGAACATGTTAGAGGCTCCAGCAGCCGCTTCTAGGGTGGCAGTCTCTGGGGCTCCTCTTTACAAGTCCTCCTGTAACCGCAGGAGATGCCCCCTGTAGCCACGTGCCCACACCTTTTTGGGACATCAATCAATAAATAGAAAGATGCACCTCCCAATGCCCCAACCCACTGCACCAGTTTTGAAGCAAACATTTCTTACTAATGGTTTATGTGATAGCAAGGATGTGGAGAAGCAGATGCAGTTTCAAAACATAGCCTGTGAATGGCAACAGGCCATCTGCTGCACACGGCAGACTTTGAACAACTTTGACAATGCAGTTCTTTCGGTCGAGAGCCCTTGGGTTTATGTAATGCCTCAGATAAGGCTGGGAACGGGAGAGAAGAACAGGGAAACTGACCCCAGGGAGCAAGGCAGTGGGAGGCTGGAGAAAGTGTGGGAAGGGAAGGGTCCCCCGACACTCCAGCCACAAAGACCAGCCACCCCCTAAGCAAGGGCGCTTGCCTTGCGCTAGCACAAGCACCAGCAGGAGCAGCAGCCGGACAAGAACCCAAATCCCATGGTTCTCTCCTCTTCAAGGCCAGTGGCAGGGGGTGGCTAAACAAGGGATGATGAGGTCTCTCTCGGGAATCTCACAGTTGCCCCAATGCCGTAGCACCCTCCTACTCCAGCTCCAGTCAGGTAAGTTCTCTCCTAAACAGAAATCGGTTGTGTGTCCTGTTTAAAACTCTGCTGTGCCCCCACAAAAGCCTTAGGGATAAAGTTAAAGTCCACTCCTGCAAGGGTAGTCTTGCAAGCTCCCATCCCTGCAGCCTCACGCTCCTCACCATACCCTTGTCTGCTACATCTCAACCAACTGCCCACCCCAGACCCTCAAACTCACCTCTTCAATCTTGATGCTCACACTTGCTTCAGGACCCAGACTCAGCATTCCCAGACTGGCCCATGACCCTTGTGGCATGATCCCCTTCCCTGCACTTCCCCTGTCATGGGCTACATGTTACCTGTGTTATTGGCTAGCTCTCCAACTTGACCCAGGCTCCAGGAAGACAGGGGTCATGCCTGCTCTGTTGACCATCCTTTCCCAGGCACCTGCTAAGCCCAGCTCACAATAGGCAATAAAGACTCATGCAAGAATACTATGCAAGAATTTCTATGGCCCCAGTCAAAAATTCCTCTCTGGGCACCTGTCCAAACCGTAGGAATAGCACTCGATCCAAAACCAATCAGAGAGAGGACACTCTCTGTACTGTTGGCATATTGCTAATGATCTAAAAGATGCAAATAGGTGAGTGATTATAAAAGTGCCCCATTTGCTGAAAGTGTATACAGACTTTAAAATATTCATGAAGATACTACAATAACATGGGAAAGTGCCTGTCGTAAAAAAGGTATGTGAAAGTCATACAAAATTATATGTATTTTATGATATCAATTAAATAAAACATTAACATGCATGAAAGAAAAACCAGAAGGAAATATTGCAAAATGTTCAAAGTGACTACAATTTAGGAGAGACCTGAAAGTGGTTTTCTTTCTTTTCTATATTTTGCCAAAATTTTGTGACATAAACAGATAATTCCTTTTAAAAAGAAAAATAATCCTGATAATGGATAAGTAGGAAAACTACACAGGAGAAAGAACTATTGTGTGAGAATTGCCTCTGTGCCAGATTCTCTTGGTGTCCTGTGTCCATGTGAATTCACAGTATTCTCAGGACATTCGAGTAGAGTGGGTATCATTGCATCCATTTTCCAGATAATGAGACGTGAGGCCACACGATGAACACTGCCACAGACACGGGGAAAATGCTTCTGAGAGGTGGCCACATGAAAATACCAGGGCACAAAATTATGTGCTAACTACGATTACAGCTAGGCAGAAGGCACGCCCATGAAAATGACAAGAGGCAGGACTTTCAAGATGGCCGCCTAAGAACAGCTCAGGACTTCAGCTCCCAGTGAAAGTGCAGAGGGTGAGTGGACGCCGCATTTCCAGACGAACTCTTATTGCCCACAGACCAGGAGATACCCAGGCAGAGGGGTCGCCAGCGTCGCAGTCCCAGCCGGTGCGGCTGTTTTGGCCCCCGCGGGGCTGATTCCGCCCGCGCGGCTGCTGTGACCACTCCCTGTTGCCGCGGTTCTCCGTACAAAAGCCACTGGTCTGGGAGCCCTCTTAGCTGGCGAGCAGAGCCTTGAGACGGCAGAATAGCCCATTCATCTGAAATAGTGAGTCAGGCCAGGAGATTCCTAGGCAAAAAATCCGCCAGGAGCCCGCGCCGCGGTTCGAGCCGACTCCGTGAGTCGCAGCACGGGAGATCCCGGCGCCTTTTCAACAAGCGACCGGAACGCGGGGTCGTTCAACTTAAAAGAAAAGACTCTGAGTCAGGGAGCCAGGTGATCAGGCTCGGTTGGTCCCACCCCTATACCCCCAACAACAACGAAAACAAAAACAGTAATCAGAAACCCTCTGGGTTGAGCCCTTCAAACCAAGCACAGCTGAACCGGGCGGTCCGGCTCCGTGGGGGAGGGGCTTCCGCCATTACTGAGACTCTCCACCGCTACGGAGGCAGGCTGCCGTTGCCGAGGCAACCCGCCATTGCCGAGGCAACCTGCCACAAGAGAGAGAGTCCGCCATAACAGAGGCGGGGCCACCATTGCCCAGACAGTTCTAACTACGCCCATATAAAAAGGACTACAGGGAAGAGCTCAGGGCAGCTGGGCGGAGCCCACAGCAGCTCAGCAAAGCCCCTGCGGGCAGGCAGAGGCTAGGCGTGCTGCTAGCTGGGCGGGTCCGACCTGAAAAAAAAAAAAATCAAAAAAGGCAGTAGTGCAAGGGAAACTCATAAAGCTCCAACTCCCTGGGACAGAGACAGACAACAGGTGGATAAACCCACAAAAATGGGTAGAAACCAGCGTAAAAAGGATGAAAACCCCCGAAACCAGAACACCTCTCCTCCTAAAAGTGATCACAACTCCTCACCAGCAAGGGAACCAGACCGGATGGAGAAGGAGGGTGATGAAATGACAGAATCAGACTTCAGAAGATGGGTAGTAAGAAACTACAATGAGCTAAAAGAACATGTTCTAACCCATCGCAAAGAAAATAGGAACCTTGAAAAAAGATTGGACGAACTGCTGACGAGAATGGACAGCATAGAGAGGAGAATAAGTGAATTGATGGAGCTGAAAAACGCAACACGAGAACTTCGTGAAGCATGCACAAGCTTCAACAGCCGAATTGACCAAGCAGAAGAAAGGATATCAGAGGTCGAAGACCAACTCAATGAAATAAAAAGAGAAGGCAAGAACAGAGAAAAAAGCGCAAAAAGGAATGAACAAAATCTTCAAGAAATGTGGGACTATGTGAAAAGACCTAATCTACGTCTGATAGGTGTACCTGAATGTGATGAAGAGAATGAATCCAAGCTGGAAAATACTCTTCAGGATATTATCCAGGAAAACTTCCCCAACCTAGCAAGGCAGACCAATATTCAAATCCAGGAAATACAGAGAACACCACAGAGATATTCCTCAAGAAGAGCAACCCCAAGGCACATAATCGTCAGATTCACCAGGGTTGAAATGAAAGAGAAAATGCTAAGGGCAGCCAGAGAGAAAGGTCGGGTTACCCACAAAGGGAAGCCCATTAGACTCACAGCAGATCTCTCAGCAGAAACCCTACAAGCCAGAAGAGACTGGGGGCCAATATTCAACATCCTTAAAGAAAAGAACTTTCAACCCAGAATCTCCTATCCAGCCAAACTCAGCTTCATAAGTGAAGGAAAAATAAAATCCTTTGTGAACAAGCAAGCACTCAGAGATTTCATCACCACCAAACCTGCTCTACAAGAACTCCTGAAAGAGGCTCTACACACATAAAGGAAAAACCAGTACCAGCCACTCCAAAAACACACCAAATGGTAAAAAAGCAGCAACACAATCAAGAATCTGCATCAACTAACCAACAAAACAGCCAGGTAGCATCAAAATGACAGCATCAAATTCACACATAACAATACTATCCCTAAATGTCAATGGACTAAATGCCCCAATCAAAAGACACAGACTGGCAAATTGGATAAAAAGCCAAAACCCATCAGTGTGCTGTATCCAGGAAACCCATCTTACATGCAAGGATACACAAAGGCTCAAAATAAAGGGATGGAGGAAGATCTACCAAGCAAATGGAGAGCAAAAAAAGGCAGGAGTTGCAATTCTCATCTCTGATAAAATAGACTTTAAAGCAACAAAGATCAAAAGAGACAAAGAAGGACATTA